TACAATTGTTGAATATGATAGCTGAATAAATAATACCTGGTATTTATTACAACGGAATAAGACTGTTATACAAATACAAATAAAACCAACACTGTCTAAGAACACTGATTTATTTATCAACTACTAACTAAAACGATATCCACAATAAAATCTTACATATCATTTGAAATGTCCGGTTAAAAAGCGGATTTGAATGAACTGAACTAGCAGTTAATCAAGAAATTAAAGTACATAAATCAACTACGAAATCAATAAATTAATTGACTTTAGTGCGAAATATAATTCATCATTAAATTATGAATGTTTTTTCTTATTAAACAGTTTACACCATGGGCTGTTTTTAAATGAATAATCGTTAATAATTAGAGAGCATGACAGGTTTCTTGTCTTAGTTTATGGCTATTCTGAAATTCCATCACTAAAAACCTCTCACCATAACTTTATATTAACAAAAAGTTTTTCGAATGATCAATTTAATCAGATCAATAAAATTAAGTCTGAAACAATCTTAATTTTTAAGTGCCTTTTACCGGTCTTCACATGGAAATCAATAATCAGGTTTAATGGTATTCATTAAACTGTCATTTATGTAGCAAACAAAATCTCACAAGTTTTTTACTCATGATTTATAAAACAAAGATGGACGTTTACTATGCTACTATGACTGAATTCAACAGTAAATTAAATTAGCGGTGTGACTTATTTATGGATGACTTTTGAGCAATGTCTTAGTGACCTTGAGAATGTCCATCTACTGAATAGGACCAGACAGGAATTAAAAACCGGCGCGATTAGTTGAAATGATGATTTATAGCTGATGGTTAGGGTCAGGAATTAGATTTAGGGTTATCATCATGAAGTGACATTAGTTAAAATGCCAAAACAATATTTAAACAAATGAACGATTGAATTTTCTGTTTGATTCGCCAAATTAGCTTATTCCTAATAATTTAAAGCACGAAATTAAACTAAGATACTCTACAATTCCTCCCAGTTACATTTAATCTTATTCAATGTTTCACTTTAATCCATTTAAAGCATGTTTATGTTTCAACTCATAATTAATAAATTAAGATAATGTTATTAGATTTTAAGAAAGTTTGACATACACTGTCTACAGAAAAAATCAATGGATAAATCTTTCATTCTCATTAAAAATAATTCAGTCAATATAGAAAAGATATGGTTAGGATAAATGTATATATAGTTAATGTTTTATTGGTTTTAATTATTCATACAAAATATAATGAATATTTCATCAAAATTTTGTATTCAATAATACAATACTGAAGGACAATTTAATGTTAAGGAACATTACTTAGTCCTAAAATGGATTTCATAACAAACTTGGAATTTTCACTGTTGAAATCATGAGTCAATTGAAGCTAGACCACCATCGTAAACCTGAAAGCACTGAACGGCCGTTTTGTCCTATTATGGGACTCCTCAGTAGTGCGCATCCACGGTGCTGCACTCGCGAGATTCGAACCCAGGACCTACCAGTTTCGAGCCAGAGCCCTTAACCGATAGATCACCAAACTTGGAATTAACGTTTTTAAGCCAAATTCATGTATAACAAAATGATATTGACATGGACTATAAGTTGAACTACCATATCACCGTTACTTAGATTTTAAATAATAAAGTTAAGACCGATTTATATGGTGTATATATTTTCATCTTAATGTCTTTATTTAACAATGATTCCTGACATTTATATTTCATAAAGAAAATATTTGGGATAATTTCGCTATTAAGACATACTATTATCTTCTAAGATCTAAAACTTATTTTTCAGATTTTAATTTACTTTAGTAGCCTTTTATAGGATGTAAGTCATTCAGAAGAATTCAATTTTAGATTTGCGCATTTCGCATTGTGTGTTTGCACTCTAAGCTTATACCCAATAATCCATTACAGATTATTAAACTTTCAGGTGAGACTATAATTTATGGACGAGCCAATCAGAAGCGTTTGAGGGTTTTCAAGGTCACGGCATCGATTTCAGTACCTGATGCTCATGTACGATTGGTTCACAGAGGATTTTAGAGAAGACTTGACAATTAAGCGGCTACAACAAATGAGACTACTAAGAAGTTTCTGTATTTGTAATTGCGGGTATTAAATGACTTGTAGACCTTGTGCAGACTACGATGATGTTGTCCTTCTACATTTGCTAGAATAGGAACCTTCATCGCTCGATCCAGATTGAGACTAAGGCATATCATAATAATTGCCGCTAACTGTATAATATAAGCATTAGTAACATTAGTTGCTATATTCGCAGATGTTACTGAAGCTTCCGCTGTTCAGTGGTATTAGTATTGCAGGGACATATCCATAATAAAAATAATAAACTTACACAAGGGAAGTACACATAAACAATAATGAAGCTATGTGGTCGAGGCTGAGAGGGTTTTTATGACCTTATCATGGTTCCAGAGACCAACACTCATGGAGCTATATGGATGAGTTCCTCTACCTTATGCATTACGATTTTGGATCCTTTGACCCTTTTTCTAACCTTCACAAGTTTTTGGACCATATAAAAGAAGTGTATCCACTTTAATTATTTGGTTTTGTATAATATATTTTTACTCTATACTGACTGTTTACTGATTGGCTAAAATTTATCAAGGTCACTCTAAACTCGTTCAAAAGTCGTCCATAAATTATATTCTCGCCAACTTTCACCATCAATCAAGAAGCTAATCAACATTTGAATATTTTTAATATATTCTTATTTCTGTATGGCTATGTTATAAGGTATATCACATCGAATACTCTGTGAATTTCTACTGATTATATGACTTATATTACATTATGTTCTTTATAGTACATGTTGCATTCGACCAAGATGGTTCTATATTTTACTTCCTGGAATTTAGTGACATAACCATTTTATAATTTACTATTTGTTGAAATATCACTGTATTGACATTAAGATATTCCTAATAAAATCTCAGATAATTGAAATCTATATTTATATACTACACTAAATTTTATAAAATTTGTAGTGTCGGTTACTATATTAAGTTCAAATAACTTATTCAGCTTCTGGACAGGCCAATTTATCCATTCTTCTTCAGTCACGTTTTGACCATGTTAATTACTGAGCTATCAACCCTGTTTTTTATATGAGAGTATGTGTGTGTACATCATATCCTACTCATCACATGTCTATAGCTTATTTTTGTGTGATTATAAATATTGATTAACACTTTGTTAGATCGATTTGACTCACATGCCTTCACTACGCGTCGTTTCGTTTCTTTGATCGCCTGTTTGAACAAATGATTGTATGAAATATACGTATTCGAAATCCACTCTTGTATTTGACTTATTTAATTCCGTTATTCATCAACGCGAGTTAGGTCGATAAGTATATACGACGACTGGCGAGATGTATATTTCAATAGCAGTCAGAAACGACCAAACTGGAGTCAGATATAGGGTCACTAAATCTTTATTTTATTCAAAAAAACGAGTAGTGCAAAGTAGGTTTCAATCACAAATCTAACAAAACAGTCAAATACGACAAAAGCAACTAGAAATTGTGCAATAAAATGAATTAATTTTGACTAAGGTTTTTTTTATTAGCTACGTTGTATACATCTACCATAAAATACAGTATTCATACAAATTTAGGTGATAAACCTGAAACAAAGTTGATAAGACAATAACAAATTAACAAGACAAGACATAAAGTATTAGTATTACTCATTATATTTGAAATTATTCAGTATTTTCATATCAAGAAATCGTAACCATCCAGTGTAAAGACAGCAGTTGAAGTAAAAAGAAAGTTAAGATAGAATAAATAATGAGAATAAAGTTATTTCTAACAGTGGATCGACAAAATGGATTGAAATCATTTTACATACACGAGTTTCCAAACTAGCTGCAGTGACTACCTCAAAAAGAGGTTATATATGTTTTTTAAAAATGCATAAATAGGTTATTCTGGATATGTTTGGTGACTGTAAACATTAAAACTAAAGTAAGCAAGGATGGATAGCGGCTAGCGGTAGAATCCAGGACGCGCGTTTCGTCCTATTCAGGACTCGTCAGCTGGATGTACCTGCATCTCAGAGTTGATGTTCACTCTGGGACTCTAACCCAGTACATTTCGTCTTAAACGCCATCGCGTTATCCATTCAGTTGCTGAGTCCTGATAGCCATTTGCTTGTGCAATGGGGTGAAGTTTAAATTCACTTGGTATTGTTTGTTTGAATCTTCCACTGCTAGCCACTATCCATCTTTGCTTACAATGCCTGTGAATTAAGACTATATCGAGGCAATACGCACAGTATGCACATATGGCCAGTAAGAGACTGATCGGTTGCAGTCCTAAACATCAATGGGAAGATTCAAACAAACAATACTAATTGAATTTAAAACTTCACCCCATTGCAAAAGCAAGTGGCTGTCAGGACTCAGTAACTGAATGGATAAAGCGATGGCGTTTAAGGCGAAATGTACTGGGTTAGAGTCACAGAGTAAAAGTCAACTCTGAGATGCAGATAAATTCAGCTGACGTGTCCCAAATTGGACGAAACGCGCGTCCTGGATTCCACTGATAGCCACTATCCATCTTTGCTCACCATGCTTGTGAATTAAAACTTTATAGAGGCAATACGCACAGTATGCACATATTAAAACGAAAGGTATCTGCTTGTCTGTTATCATCACTATGTTACATTTAAATTTTGAAAAGTTACAGTATTAACGTACCCAAAAACTAATTATTATCGTTATATATACACTGAGAAGTTCTATACAAAGTGTATATCAAATTAATAGAATGTTCCAAAGTGAATTAGACGTTAATGAGAATGTATGAAAAGACAAAAAGCTCATAAGTGTCTGTTACTAATTTTTAAAGCATTGGAACAACGTAAAAAATCAGCATCAAGAAGGAAGTGTTTGTCTGAAATAATCGGAAAGCTTGACTATTAGAATAATAAAAACAAATCAACTTCAAAATATTTATTGTTTGTGCTGTAAGTCCTCTTATATGTAACTAATATAACCACGCTTAACTCCATGGTATGATAGATTTAACTTCACACTGTTCATTACATGTAATGTTTTTCGATATTTTTCTGTATCTTTGCTTGCTTTTTTTATCTGAAAAAAGCGAAATCTACTGTCCATTAGCTGACAATAATGGGGAAATTTAATGTGGTTTTTCATAATTCTTAAATTAGAAAGTGATTTCCCTAAATAATATTCCATTAGCATTGTACATGTACAGTTATGTCTTATTATAAAATCAACAACAGGAAACAACGGATTTAAAAATGATTCATTCAGCAACATATAATCGTAGTAATGTAGTATTAAGTGCAAGAAAAGAGAAAGGTGTCAAAATATTGAAAAGTTACAGAAGAACAAATTCAGAAAATATAAGTTTACTGACAATGAATTCAGATTAGATTTCCATTCTTTTTATGATATTCGAGCGCTTCTATATTAATTATATTTCCCTATAAATTAGCTAACCATTATAATTAGATTGATTAATGTGATTAAACTGCCTTACGAAAATATGTAAAATCAGTTTTGGAAGACTCAAGTTTTAGTTTACAGATTGGAAATATGCTTAACATAATATATATCTCAGGTGTTCCTTTTGCATTTGTAAGCCAACTGATACGGATCAATGTGCTCTTTCGGTGCAGGTTTGAGTGGCAGTAGCAATAATTTTTCCATTGTTATGAGAAAAGTTGAAGTTATCGTGATGAGTCCAAATTTCAGATTCTTATCCTCTGGCACTTTCTTAGGTATTGGGATTAACTTTATCTTTGTCAGCATTTTTGGTATGAGATTAGTTGAGAAGGATCTGTTTAAGATGCTCATGAACAAATAACATAGAACGTTAGCATCCTTTAATAAAAAAGGTTTGGGTTTTCATCAATTCTTAAACATTGGGACGAGTTAATTGACTAGAGACATTTTGGGACATCAGTTTCAGTGAAAAGTGGGACACAACTGTTCTGTAAACCTGTGTATGTAGAAAGCATGACATCCAATGACTGACGTCCAAATTACTGATTTAAGTCACAAATATTGGTTTCAGTAAGTCAATTTTAAAGATGTACATGTGTTCACAATAGTTTATCTTGATCAGCTTTTTTTTAAAAAGGCGGAAAATACTAAGCAGTGATGAAAATTATTACATTTTATTTTCACACATTACAATCATTGGAGCAAATTAAGTTTAGTTTCTATTACTTTCAAAATGTGTAAAATAAATTTCACTTTTAGGCGATTCTCGAACGACATAAATCGGAAATAACAGATAAGTAATAGAAAATGATTATCCTAGATATTTCATACTTGTAGTTCACTTTTTGCAACTAAAGTAACCAGATGTTTCATTGATTCTGACATTACTAATAATAAGCTTGACAGAAAAACGATGAAACCCATTTATACTTTTTACTGTTATAGGATCCTTAAAATTCTTCAAATGATTAAAGTAACCTCTCTTTTTTATACCTAGACAAACCAAGAATAGCAGTATTTTCAGAATACGATGAATTTATTATCTTTTATAACTTCCTCCTAACTGCATACAAGCTGATCGTTTTAGCTAGTTCAAAATACTTACACATACATATATGTATATATAAATATAGAATTTCTAATAAATAAATCGTTTGTTAGTGAAGACTAAATAGTTTTCAAAGCAAACTTCCTTAAGGAGATTTTTATTAATGATTTGGTTACTGATGCTAGAATATTAAAGAATATGATCTTATTACATAGAAAACTACTGACTGTTGAAGTGTATGAAGAAATGGTCGTTCTGAGTAAAACTCATTCAGCTGAAATAATAAACTGATGAAAAGTGAAAAATAATATTAAAACAAATGATATTTTTCCATATATATTATCTAAGAAGATTAAAAGAGTTAGAAAAGTCCATTTTACACACTGCTTAGTTTTTCAAGGTACATTAATAATCATCTAAACCGTTTGTTGAAAACTAGATATCAAAGTCAAAACTATAATAGATTATTTTAGAAAAAAATATTTACGGTTCGTTTATATATCTAGAAGTATGATCTGACAATTAGTGGCATACTCAGTTACCTTACTAAGAAACTGACAATAGCTAGAAATATATTTTTTATATTGATTGAATGAATGTCAAACATAATGTTAAGATTTTAAATTCTTGTCATTAATTTAAAAATGAAATAAAAAAAACTTGGTATTGTTTCCTTGAATCTTACCATTTATGTTTAGGACTGCAATTCATCAGTCTCTTATTAAGAATGCAAGAACATCCAGCTGACGATTCCGAAATAAGACGTCCTGGATTGCACTGCTAGCCAATATCAATGTTTACTTACAATGCTTGTGAAATATAAAATAATTTGATAATGTTATTGATTGTTAGTGTTGTGATTTTTATTTCTCAATTGAACCAATTAATAAATGTCAACAGTTTTCTTTAATTTTGGAAATGAAATACAATACAATACAATTTAGCGTTCATATCTTCCTTTTTTACTTGTCAAACATAACAAATAATAAATCTTAATTTATTTCCAGTGGAGGTGGTTTAAAAAAAATCTTTCCCTATAAAGTCATGATTATTGTGTTAAACTCCTTTTTTGGACACATTGTAAATAAGAATGAAAGTTAACAATATCCTAATCACTTAGTTTTATTGACTCGAACTCAACAAGTGAGCAAATCTTTTCAAAAAATAAAGTTCACTTATTCGAAAAATATGTCACAAAATCTATAATCATATTGTAGTAAACGAGAACACAAGTTTAGCCAGCCAAATGTATCGGAGCACAAAATTACAGAATCTCCTAGTAAAATCTGAGAATCATACAGTAAATACTTCATTCGCAAAATATTCATCAATTTTCTCAGACTTGATTATTCCTTCGTTTTCATACTAATCATTCTCTATTCTCGTCCTCTTTTCTTCAATCTTCTTAACCTTCTGCCTCCAGTCATTTCACTTGCAATTAATAATGCATACTACTTAAATCTGTCAACATAAGTAGCCCACACCACAATATATGGATATATATGAACATATGATTTGGTAAAGGTTAAAAGACCATATTACTAGTTGATAGGTTAACTTAATCAAGTATACTTATCAAACCCATGTGAATTATATAAATTTTCTCTGCTAAAATTAGTAGTCATGTGATATCTCAATTTATTGATTTGATGTTTTCATAAATTAATGTCGATTAATGATTGAAGTATCAATTTATTTATACATCATCTGAACTGTACAGTATTGTTCTATATGGTAATATTATTCAGTGTTTTTACTTGTTGTGTTTTTGTAATTACTGGTCTTTCTTTGTTTTCTTTTTGAAAGAAGAATTAATTTATACGGACTCACTAATAATATTTGATATGTATGTTTAGATTAAATTAAAATTTTAATCTCATCAGTTTGAATAACCCCAAAGGGTAGTTGTTTAAATGGTTTCAAGTAACTACAGAACAAATTAACACAAGAAAATAGCATGACGAGAAAAAGTGATAAAAGAAGAAAAAAGATCATTTACCTGTAAAGGATCTAATTCAATGAAGGGTTTGTTAGCAGGGAACAATATATTTGAAAAATAAAAGAATGAAGTTTATTGTTAATTGGTATAAGTAATAAGTAACATATCAACGGATATTAAAATGGAGCTGCTTTTAGAGAATAAGTTTTTATTTGAGCCAACATATCTAAGAAAAATTAGTAACTGTTATATATCTCGGTAATAGACGAATTTACTTCCAGTTAGTTTTAAATTGCTTTTTTAAAGAATGTAGACCACGGTCAAAAGTAATGTGAAAAGAAAAACATTATTGAAATAAATATTGAGAGCTTATAAATGAGAACATTAACCACAGAAAAACTGATAAAACGCATAAAATGAGAGATATTCAATGATAATATGTCTTTATTACGTAACGTTTTATGTGAAACTGAAAATATCCTGAAAGCATCTAGTCTTTAGTTCATTTTTGTCAAACAAGATTGGTATGAGCACTCTTTCAAACAACTCTTGATAATGAATAGTTAGGATCGACTCATTGCAAAGTTTATAGACAGTAAATAGTTCTTAAGATCCGGTGAAATGTTATGGCAAAAGTGCATCTTGGTTTCATCTGAAAATCAGAACTGATGCCAACCTAAACCTGTAAAAATGCAATCCATCTTTTCGTCTTCTAAATTTGGTTACCAAACAATACAAGTTAAGCCGTTTGATAATTAATTATTGATTTTCTTAAATAATAGATTTTATGCTAGCATTTTGATGAGAGGTATCATTCAGACCACGCAAAACAACAATACTGTGGTTACTCCAAAATGAAACAATAGTACACAATTTTGCATTTCAAATATATAAAACAGTGACATTTGATTTATGAAAATTCTAATAAAAACTGGCTACATTACATAGAAGAAACAGTATTAAACTTATTAAAATTAACAATATGCTTTTGATTTTCAGAATTAATCTACTTGTAAATTTTTTTTGGAAAATTATATAAACTTTGGTGACTTATATCTGACTGAATAAAAGACGAACGTTATTGACGCTGTAGTAGTACATATCCTAATTCATATGTGTCCCGTCGACTTAACACGTGTAAAACAACGGTATGTCGAAATTCGGATAGGAATTTTATTTAGTATAACTATATATCAGACTTGCTAATGTTGAGTATCTGACAAGCAAAAGTACAAGAATTAGCAATTGTACAAAACATTAAAGTTTGGTAATACACCAGCTCAAGGAAAGTGCCCCGGTTTTCATCATTTAAGAAATAGAGTAAGCGGATAAACACATACCGTTATACACACATGCTTAAACAATAACGAAGTTTATATATGAGTAATTGATAAGGGTTAATGTGTAAAATAATTAATCTATCCAAAAGTTAGAATAAATTACTTAGGTGAGTAATAATAATACTAATTGCTACAAACCTCTATTCACAACTATCCTTGTAAAGTTAAGCATCAGATTCATGAAGTTAAATGACTTAATAAATCGTTCCTTCTATTTAAAAGATCTTAATTTTTGTAAATTAAATAAACATCTATTTTAGACTCAGTTCAAGATAGACAACAACAAAAACATGAAAGTGTAAACGTGAACCAACATTTGAGCTCACATGAAAGTTTCAGCATGTTTATACAATTCTGTTAAATGGTTTATTATCTGCATGCTTATTTCATTATGATTTTCATGGATATTCATTTTAATAAATGTTGTCGAAACATAAACGGAGAAGTTTGTTTTAAATAACTTTCTTTTAATTAAGTAAATTTCCGATAAGATGACATAATAAATTGGAAAGTAATTTAAGTTAATCAGATAATTTATCGTTAATTACAGGAAAAATGTTGCAGGGACGAATTTTATACTTCAAAAAAAATAATAATGATAAGATCTTCACTATTTAAAATCATTTCATACAAGACAATGGAATGAACGGTGTGACTATTTATTATTGTTATTATTATTAGTTTTATTCAATATTATATTTTTAGTACAATATAGAATTCTCAGCCCAATGTATTTTAACAAGTTTCCGTTTCTTACTTCTTCGTCGATCCGGACGATAAATATTGAGTAATCACTAGGTAGAAGTTATCAGTCCAATAAATCGACATGTAAATAATGTACATTCTTTCCGCTGTATATTGCCAGTAACAACGGTATCTCTGATTGTTCCTTCTGTAACTTGTACAACCAAAGGTTGTACACTTTTCAGGAACGCACCTGAATACGCTATGCGATTAGTAGCTATAATGGTTTATTAAAAGAAACTAAACTAGATAAGTTGTTGAAATATCTAGATGGCAGGAATAGGTAGCTCAGATGTTCATTTCAGTTCTAATTTTAATTATGATTAAACAAATAGAGTTAAAATAAGTTTTATGTAGGAGCTGAAGATGAATCGCAATTAAGGTCACTTAAGTATCATTCTTTATTACTAGTCAAAACAAACCAGTTTGAAGTTAATTAGAAGTTCAGAAATTGTAATATATTAAGTCACACAATATGGATTATATTCACCAACTGAACGAGTCTACATATTACATCTTTAACGAATTCAGAACCTTAATCATTGTGTGGTGTGTGTTACTAATGTCGATAGATATAAGTAGTATGTATCAACAATCGCAAGTGGAATACATGGCGGCAGAAGGTTCAGAGAAGTAGAAGGAAAGAGAAAAGAAAGTGATTGGTATGGAAACGAAGGAACAACAAAGTCTGAGACAAATGAGTGATATTTTGAAAATAAAGTATTTACTGTATGGTTCTCATATTTTACCAGGATATTCAGTAATGTTGTTCCCACCTATGTTCTTGTTCACAACAGTTGTACAAAATATCTGAAATGAAAGCAATTCAATTCTTACTTAATCTGTTTTGATTTAAAGTCATAAGAAAACCATGTATCATAGTATGGATGAAGCTGAAAGTTATTCTTGAGGTTGAGCTTTCCTTTCATCAAAAAGCTTTTCTACACAAGGACCATAGAAAAATGAAGTCAAGAAAAATTAGTTAATCTCGTTTGTAGTACTAATCATATTTTGAAAAACTGAAATCACGGAATTCGATTCTACAATCCTAATTATTAACCAGTTTGCATCAATCTTAATTTAATAGAAAAGCAATATCAACAAGTAAACAACTACGATATATCTAACATAAAATTAACTTATCATATCCAGTAACTTCATATCATGAAAATATTCATCTACATAAAGTGCCTATTAAATGGATATGATAAACCTAGATTGTTCCTATAGAAATACTATTGGAATTTATGATGACAACATAATTAATGAATAAATAATGAGCCTAAGTCACTTCATAAATAAGATAAAATGATTTCATTACCATAGTACCTATAGTGAAAATACTAATGAAAGTAGTTACTATAAAAGCAACCTTTTATCTTACATATAACGGAAGGAATAATATAATTTATTCAGACTACTTATCATATATTATAGATATCGTGATTAAAAATTTGAAAAAGTCAAAAGCGACATATATATATATATATATGGTCTGATCTATCGCCCCGATAAGTTAACACAAGGTTATTTAGGAATTTAATTTTTGTTCTTTGTCTTTTGGCTTAAATTCCAGACCACTAATCAGGTATTCAGTGGTATTAACATCTAGCTTTTATCAGTTCACGATATTGCGCAGACCCTACTCACTTCCTGCGGTGGATGACTGTCTCATACATTATATAACTGAACTCTACTAGTCATGGCTTCTCAATCGATCTCCAGAAATTGAATTTTGAAAATAGTCACTGGTGAGCACATGATTATTATCAGTATAGAGTTTTGTGGAGATTATATAAAATTCAGAGTTTGAGATAAAACATGCGTTATGAAGAGTAACCAATCTACGGAATTCCGCTTTCATATAGTGTCATTTTCATTGTGTGATGGAACATAACACTTATCTTATCAATTATATGAGATTTAAGCTTTAAATAAGGGTTTCCTATAGAAAATTATTCAAAAGGTAAATGATAATTTGGATTACTTTTGAATCATTTGCAGAATCTGAAAGTCGTTATCCCTTTCATAACTGACTTGGCAACATAACATAGTTATACTCGTTGCCAAAGAGGATAAGAATGTCTGGTAAACTGAAATAAGTTAAAACAACGATAGAGACTCATTGATTCATTAAAAAATGAAGACTTTCCAGCAAAGAAAATTTTTTACATGGAGCAAAAACGTATCAGTTGTAATCAGATCTTGAAGGAAAATACTTAGCCTTAGTGTACATAAATAAATTTAGTTCATTAGGCGCACACGTCTCACATGATATATACCAACCTAATTGACTTCACAATTTATATTCATCAAATCAAACATGATGTTCAGCTTATGACACAAACTAAGATCAATATTTGTATTTAAATCGCATTCAGCCTTACAGTTCTCAATTCAAATAGGAAATGCTAAAAGTCCTTTCCACAATTGGTTGTTTTAACAGCTTAAATTACTCAGACACTTTCATTGCCCACAACTTGTAATATATAAGTGATCACTATTAGTAGAGTATACGCTACACATTTTAGCATAAAAGTTACACTTAAGATAACTGTAATTGGACTACAAAATGTGATTTGCTTCATTAACGTTTTATTACTGTGACAACGAACATGCCTGTTTCATTAAAAATGGATGGTTCGTTTCCCAGTAATGTTTATCCAAATTTGTATTCGAGACCTATTAAGCTATTCGGTCTAAATACTTTAGTGACTAGAAATAAAAGGACGGAATAATGAAATTTCCAAGAATTTACATTGTTTTTGACGTTTTAGTGATAAATTATTTTATCTTATTTCTTAATCTTTTCCAAATTAAATCTTTAATTGTTTGTCAATTTTATCAAAAGTTCTGTCTTAGTTGACAGGTTTCAGGATAACTAGGTAAATCTTTGAGTACTATGCCTGAAGATGAGTAATTACTTAATAACTTATCAATCAGCGTTATGAAAAAAAAGTAGGAACTGTTTCAAATGCTTGCTAAATTATACTATAGATAGATTGGCGTGTTTCGAATAAAAACAGTCTAGGGATAGGTTAAAATATAAAGACTACTTTTTCATTACCCATGTAATGCTACCTCAATAATCCGTTTGAGCTGTTTGAAAGTATTCATAAAGTATGTCTCAAAGATACCAAATTTTTCATTACACTGGTTACAATTTTAAAACTTGTTACTGAAAAATAGAAATTTAATTTTTATTTTACACAAAAAGCAGTAAGATCAAAATAGGTACGTAAATGAGACCCGGACAGTTTAGTAGTAACGTCACGGGTTATGAGATAGAGTGACCGGGGGTCAAGCTTCACAGGAAACATCAGCTCCCTCAAAATTACAGATGGACCTCCCTGACGAGTACCAACCAGCACAGAGTTTATTACCAGAGTTTCCTCCCGACTATCCTTAACTTTCTATTATTTCAACATAGTCCAGATTATGCTAAATCACGTGGACTAGACATCAGATTATAAGTAAATATACTGAATATGATTAGAACTAAAACTTGAACAGACATTAAATTAAAGGTCAATTAATTACTAGTATATGAGTATTATTTAAATTGTACAAATGGGATTTGAATGAACAAAGCATATACCCAAAATAAAGTTTAAATTTTTAATGATTTTTTATTATAATCTTAACGTGAGAAATTAGATAAAAGAATACTAGTTTGCATCCAGTGATCTCGTAATATCATTAGTCTGTTCACATACGTTTACTTAGAATTCGATTAACTAACTGACGTTTTCGAATGTGCATATTAATGATGTCTCTTTGATTATCCGAAGATAAACATGTCTCGATAGTCAATGGATACTGAAACATGCTTTAATAAGATATACTTAAGCTATATTTTTGTTTAGTTCATCATAGGACATGTTTCTTTTTTATAGAAATCTTTGTTTCCCATTTAGGAGTTTTTGTTATTTTACACAAAACCTTTAACACTAGTCCTTTCATTGACCTATAGACAATAAAGGAGACACAGTGCCATCTAGAGAAAAAAATGAATTTGTTATAACCTCAGAGTTTATGGAACTTTTAAACTCCTTGGGGCCAGGCTTCAAATACAAACAGCATAAGTTAGTTTAGAATTTCACTGAGTACTCAGTAAAATCATGTATGAGTAGGAGTAATGTAGTAGTTGTTGTTATACTTCTATTTATTCTACTTTTTCTTGAATAATCAGTGATTATAGCCAAATCGGGTAATTTGTAATCGTTTTATGCACGCTTGTTATTTGTGACCATTGTTAATTATATTCATGTACATTTTTATGTATCTAGTTGTTAATTGTACTATAATTGACTATCTGCAATTTATGCACTAGTCGTCCGATGTGAAGATCGACTCAACTCTCTATTCATTGACTTCGATTAAGACTCTGATTTACAATTTTATACTCCTGTCTATCTTCTGAGTATATACATATGTCAAATAAATGCACCTAAACTGCTCTGTCGGACTTTTCATTTTCCATTGTTATCAACAGGAATGGTCAATATAAGATATGCACTTTATTAACGTTTTATATTTCATCATCAATCATTGTCAACATTATGGAGTCATTGTTGTGTCTAAAACGCTTGTTGACTTCCAAGAAAGAAAACAAAAGAATACAGTGAAGACTGTAGCTCAAAAATCAAAGTTATACAAATAAATCAAATAAATAGATATCATTTTGATGAAAGTAACAGATTTTTGTTGAAATCATCAAAGTTCTGTATATTTCTGTTTTCACTATTAAAAAAATTGCTTCTAGTTGAAATTCTAAGTTTATGAAAATGTTGAACCATAAAATTACTGTAAGTTAAACAGTTTGGATAAAGTGTGTACACTGTGAAACGTGGTAATTTTAAGTGTAATCCATCCAAATGTAAACAGAACGTGATTTAGTGGATTATCGTGTCTACAATGTGATAGCGGGTCTTGATAAGTTTGTCTGCTTTTTGTAGCTTACAAATAAACTCCTACAACTCAGTGACACTAGTTAAATATAGAATAAGTGTAAGTCATTGATATATTTGATAAAGAACTTTTTAGGTTTGAATCTTTTACAGCAAAAATTTCACATTTTATTCCTTCAATTGCTAAAGTCTTCGCCGGTTTCAAGAGAGTAAAAACGTTTTATTCACTAATTGTGCCTAATGGATTTATTCTAATCACCTTGTGTCTGGTTTTAAGAAAATTTTGATACTGTTTTACTTTCTATGTAGATGCTTAGCAATATATCAAATGAAGAGAATAGATGCTCTCCACTATGTTCATTAAGAAATGAATACTTTTTAAATATATATAAAGGTTTTCGTCGTTGGTTAGGAGCAAGGACAGAGTTTCTTTTGCTAGGTTTGGTTCAATTGAAGTGAATAGTGCTGTTACATCGAAGGATATCATTAGTTCGTCGTCGTTGATTTGAATGTTCCTAATCTGATCAAGGAATTGTGTGGCTGATTTGATGGAGTGGTTCGACGAATCTACTAAATGTTTCAGTATTCTTGAGATTTCTCTTGATAAATTGTACGTTGGTGTTCCTGGTAGTGCTACAATTGGACGTAGTGGGATGTTTGGTTTGTGTATCTTTGGTCTGCCGTAGAACCGAGGGAGTACTGGTTCATTAGATTTCATTCTCCATTGATCTTGCTTCGTTATTTCTCCTGCTTTGACGAGTTTGTTTAAAGTTTTTGAAATGCGATTGTCTAGTTTTTTGACTGGATTTATGTCCATTGGTTTGTATGTACTTTTGTCCTCGAGTATTTCCTCGGCTTTCTTGATGTATTCTTCCTTGTCCATAATCACCGTAGTGCGTCCTTTGTCTGCTGGAACGATGACAATATCTTTTCTGGTTCTGAGTTTTTTCAAAGCTGTTTGTTCTTGTGACGTCAGTTGGTTGTTGCCCTTCATCCGTTGAGTTAGTGGTATTATAGATTGTCTTATTTCATGTTGCGTTTCCTCACTTATTCCGGAAGTTTTGAGTGATGACTCTAGTGCTGCGTAGAATGCTAGTTTTGGGGCATCGCTTGTATTGTAATTTAATCCTTTTCGGAGTAGCTGTTCTTCTGTGTTTGTTAGTGGTTGCTTTGATAGGTTGACCACGCTGTTGTTTGTGTTTTCTTCTATAGTTGGTTTTGAGATTTTGATTATTTTCTTTTTAAGGATGTTTCTTCTTTTTTCTCTGTGTCGTTTGCATAATGTTTCGATGGCTGTTGACAAGGTTTCGAAGTGTTCTGGTGTGAGTGTCTGTTGTAGCTTCCTCTTTTGGTCCTCTATGACATGTTGGTATTTGCGGATCCTGTAATGTGCGTCCGTTATCATTAGATGGACCATTTTTCTTCCACATTGCTCAGCTATTTTCCATCCTAATGGGCAGTTGATTGGAGGTCTGTATCTTACACTTGTTGGCAGAACATGCTGGCGAATGCACTCGTGGAGAAAATATAGTTATTCTCGAGTGGAAGCTTGCCTTTTGGGGAAATTCTCCCATTTTCAAACAACAAGAAGCGTACTACGCTCGTATGATTTTGAGATGGTGGAGAAGATTTGTAGCTCAGGTGGGTGATTTTTATGTTGGTTTGTTCTCTGAGCTGGATGGTTTTGTTTGATCACTGGTAGAATTGTGGTTGTGGGAAAATGTGCAGATTTTGGACAGAGGCAATTCCAAAAATACCAGAGAATTTTTAGAAGCTTGGCACTCAGGTCAATCAGCAATAAACAAACATATTGAAATCAATCCAATCTATCAACCAATCAAGAAAATTATGCAGGAACATAGGAACAAAAATCAAAACAATAGGAGAGACAATCAAAACAAAGAAATAAACAATGACAGATTTAAGGTCAATAAGAACCAATCAACATCGAGGTGCAGAGGACAAGCTGTGAATCACATGTGGAGAAATTCAAACACTTCACTTCTACCCGAAGTTTGTGCTGATGAAGTCTTTCAGAAGGACGATGAAATCTCCACGACCAAACCATCCAGCTCAGAGAACAAACCAACATATAAATCCGTATGTACGGCATTTGAAGATATAACGTACAATTTGATTTCCCTAAGTTGAATAAATCTCTTTTCAGAATGGATATTGAACAAAATTGAATGATCTATTAAAAATGCTAAGCATCGAATCACTTACACCTGTTACTCCTCGTAAAGAAGCATAGGCCGCGCACCAGCATTCTCCATCCAACCATGTCCTGGGAAATCCTTTCCAGCTCTTTCCATTTGCCATTCATCCTTTTCATATCGGCTTCCAACTCCCAACGTGGTGTGTTCTTCAGCCTTCCTCTTTTCCATTTACCTTCAGGATTCCAAGTTAGGGTATGCCTCATGATGCAGTTTGGTAGTTTTTGTAATGTAAAACACCTAATTAATACAGATAAATTAATAAGAGTAGGAAATAATCTAGAGTTTTTAGTCTGTTTGAGTCTTACTGAAAATCATAGTTTTCCAACACTCAACTGATGAGAAACATTATTGATAGTTTAATGAATAATGTTATCTTTTTGAATACCTGAAAACACATTCCATTATTACTAAAAGAATAGAAATATACTAAAATACATAATGCCACCTAAAATGAAATTGTTTTTCTTTGATGTTCAGGCTTTTACTAACAGTCTTTTCATTTAAAAAATGATGTATTGCCTTTAAAATATTTAAATATAAGTGTAGAATAAAAAAGAACAAGAAATGTTATGAAACTTAGCCGATTTTCTTTAACTTGAATGTGAGTGCCGTTGGTACTGATTTATATAAACCTATAAAAAGGAGCTTAAATGTGTTTTTCCAAAGGTCATATTTTAACATGTATTTATCGAGTAATGACAAATAATACTTAATCTGTAAGAAAGTATATATTACTATTGTTATACGAATTCATTGTGAATTACACTTTTTAACTTTTGTCTTAAAATAACCCAACTTACATTTCAGTTTACGATGTTCCTGACTTATTCTATTGTAGTGAATAGCAACACGAGTGAGGGACAATCGAATGTATTTGAGTACAGAATTACAGAATATCTAACTATAATCTGACAACCACACAGTAAACAGTTAATTTGCAACGTATCAATCAATGGTCTCAATTTTGACCGTTCCTTCTGCAAATATCAGTCCATAGTCTCCGATTATCATTGTTTATGCATTTTCGTACCGATTGCGTCCCGTTTCCTTTCTCTCCTTATCGATCTTCTACTGAAATGCATTCAGTGATCGACCATCGTTATATACTACTTGTATATATACAAGTAGCTCATACCACACTATGACAGATTTTGTTACGTGTTAACACTATTTAGGCTAATGCAAATTGGATACTATCGAAATACTAAAGTTTTTGATTTGATAAATTGATCATAACGCATTGAAAATTGCTGTAACGGTAAAATTTCAATCTATAAAAACAGTGAGTAGGACTTTATGATGACATTGATGACATTGAACTGTGAGTTATTAGCTAATAGAAATCGAAAAATGTTTTTTGTTAATTTACAGTTGATTTAATCCTCACATTATTTACCATTCTCATATATACTTTTATGCGAAAGTGAGTGAATGGTCTGAACAATTGTGTTGAAATGTTTTCGACTTGAATTAAATTGTTATCTATTCGAAAGCAATTAAAATAATGAGCTAAAACCGGATAGTTTTCTTTGATGCTTGCTCTTAAGTTGAACATAAAAGTATTAGGAGTAATTGTTGGTTTCTATAGTATTTCAATTTAAATCTATCGGAAATTGGAATTACTCAGGTAACAATTAAAAAAACCTAGGTTTTAAGATTCAAACCGTTATTATACAACGTTTGGTAGCAGTGATCATTTAAAAAGGGAGGATTTATTTCAATGCGATATTGAAGTGCGTTCAGCATTGTTTAAATAAATTGGAATTAGTTTATTTTTTCTTTAAATTTTACCGTTAATAGACTTCTGAAATTATAACATCGAGTGTTTTGATGAGAATATTTAGTCCAAAGTTCTAGGCTACAAATAATATTGTAGTGTGGTCTACTTACATCCATATAAGTAGTATATGGTGATGATCAGACATAGAATGTATTTTGGCAGAAGATCGATAAGGGATGAACAGGAACGAAGCGCAATCGGTAGTAAAAAGCATGAACAATGAAATCAGAGAAGACGGACTGATATTTGTAGAAGAAATAGTTAAAATTAAGACAGTTGATTGTTATTTTGAAAATATACTGTTGACTGTATGATAATCAGAATTTAGTGAGATAGTCTGTAATTTGTGCTTTAATACATTCGACTTTCCCCAACCGATGTTTTGTTCACTACAATACTGTTACACAAATTATTCTTTTTTTAAACATGGGTTTAATCCATGAAACTTTTTCGAGATAGCTCAATAAAGTTTTAGTTTGTCTTACATGATTTAAACATTATTATCAGAATACATATTATGGTTTTACTATGGACGTCATTTTGAACTTTTCTAAAATGTTATCTGATAGGCTTATAAAGTTTAGGATATGATGTTTACACACTTAACGGTATTTAAAAAAGACTCTGAAAGGTAAAAAAAAAATAGAGTCACAAAATGATGTTTTTGTTGTTGTTGTTGTTGGAAATTTTTCTACTGTTTAAATGTGTTAAGGTATCAAAATAAACTGAAAACCGGAGCTTATTTTGTTTCTTATGAGATGCTTATAGGTCAGCTAGTTTATCTCAAACTGTAAAATACAGAGTTTAACTAAATTATTGTAGGAAAGGTGAGAAAATAATCCTAACAACTTTTAAAAATACATCAAATGATCAGGTATACAAATAACAAATTAAAAATAAATGATATAGGAAAATTACTTTGACATAATTTTATATTATTATTTTCATAATATATATTTGTAGCTATGGCAACTATACCAAACTCTTGCAAACCCCAAATAAATCTGGTAATTAACATGATAGAACACTTTTTTCTACATTGGTAACAGATACATAACAAATCTACTTTGAATTCACTTAGTATTGTTTGTTTGGATCTTCCCATCGATGTGTTTAGGACTGCAACTGGTCAGTCTCTAACTGGCATATGTGCATACTGTGCGTATTGCCTCGATATAGCCTAAATTCACAAGCATGGTAAGCGAAGATGGATAGTGGCTAGCAGTGGAATGGAGGACGCGCGTTTCGTCCTATTTGGGACTCGTCAGCTGGATGTACCTGCATCTCAGTGTTGATGTCCATTCTGGGACTCGAACCCAGTACCCTCGCTTCAAACGCCATCGGCAATACGCACAGTATGCACATATGCCAGTTAGAGACTGACCAGTTGCAGTCCTAAACACATCGATGGGAAGATCCAAACAAACAATACTAAGTGAATTCAAACTTCACCCCATCGCACAAGCAAGTGGCTATCAGGACTCAGTGGCCGAGTGGATAACGCGATGGCGTTTGAAGCGAGGGTACTGGGTTCGAGTCCCAGAGTGAACATCAACTCTGAGATGCAGGTACATCCAGCTGACGAGTCCCAAATAGGACGAAACGCGCGTCCTGGATTCCACTGCTAAATCTACTTTGTTTAACAAATAAAGTTAATTTGTTTTTCATAACTAGTTATTCAGTTAATTATAAAATAAAGTATATGAGATTAGTTTACATTGATCATATAGGTTATAAACTGCAATCATTTCTAGAAAAAGATATATGAATTTTAGGCTTTAGCTACTGTTAAAAATTTTAAAAGTTATCTGTTTCATACTTTTATCGCTTATCAAGAGATATCTGTCTTCCTGATAAGTAACTTTATTTTCATAAGATTTCAACCTAGAAAGATGTAAGAGAGTTAAGTGTATTTCAACTGATTCATTGGTCATTATATTGTTATTTTACACTTTGGTAATTTACATTTATTAGATGATCTTTCTTCAAAGGGATTTGAAAATGAATGACCAAATAATATGACATTATTATAGTAACTTTAAACCCGTAATTCTTTCTGAGAAGACGCAAATTTTTTGTCTATGCATTTGTTAGAGTAGTAAATTTTACCAAAGACTGATAATTCTGTTCATACTGACAGCTTTCATGTAGGTCAAGAGAGAGGAAAATAAGTAGAATCAATTGAAATAGTACATACTTTCTGAATTTAGTGAATGACTGCTTACGGAGAATTTTAATCATACAGGTAAATTACTCTACTACAGACTAGAAACCACCTTAACATTTGAGATTTATTTTCTGGCCTAATGATAGGTTTATGGATTTTATGAATGATTTGTAAAGTGGGTTTAAAGTAGTATGATTATTTATTCAACATATTTCTAATGATATCAAACAAATAGATATCAACTATAAACTGAAGAAATATGTTTGTCAAGTTAGTAAATATTTTGTGTTAAATCAATAATTGAACTACCGAAGCACAAGTTACCTAAATGGGATGTAACCGGACAACGTTTTGATTTGAAGGAACTATCATTTACACCTTCTAGATGAAACTAATAACTGGAATTAGTGAACATTGTCAGCTCTTGTTTTTACCGATTAGCTGAACAATCTAGTATTATTGC